TATGACACATCCGACCGAACTACAAACTTTCCAGTGATGTCTGTGCAGGGCTGTACTCTTACTTTTCTTTTAAAAAACTTAAAAAATTTAGGAGCACGTTCAAAATTTTAGGAGCACCTTCTAAACAATTATCCAAAAAAATTTTTCAAAGTAGCCTTCCCATTACGAGGTGATATTTGACTCCTCTAACTTTATTAAAAGTATATCATCTTTTGTCAAATTCTTAAAAAATATATATTTTATAAGCTTTTTAAAAATTGTAATTAAAACGACAGAATAAGAACAAGTAGAATAAGAAATATAAGTTACCAATCAAATTAAATCCTAACTTAAAAAAATTTAGGAGCACGTTCAAAATTTTAGGAGCATCTTCTAAACAATTATCCAAAATGTTATCAAAAAGTAGCCTTCCCATTACGAGGTGATATTTGACTCCTCTAACTTTATTAAAAGTATGTCATCTTTTGTCAAATTCTTTAAAAAATTATATTTTATAAGCTTTTTAAAAATTCTAGATAAAACCATATAATAAGAACAAGTAGAATAAGAAGAATAAGTTACTAATCAAATGAAATCAGTATTAACATTTATTTGTACAGAGGTAGCACAGAAGAACACAAAAGTGGCTTGTAGGTGTATTTTCAGACATTTAATTAAACAGATGGTGGAATGAGTGCAATTAAATCCATAAATTCATGATGATATTAATGTTCTAAATATAAAAAATATAAAATAGAAATATTAAATGATTTAAATAACTGAAAAGATACTTTTAAAATCAAACAAACTGCCAGCAGGTGGCGGTAAGTCACTGATTTTTATCACTGAATCATTCATTCAATTGATTCATTCGAACGGCTGATTCATTCAGGAATGAATCAAGTGACTGTCTTTATGAATGGGTAATCATGAATCACTGACTCACTAGATTCATTAAAAAACAAAAAAAAACGAGACACCGCTGTGTTTGAATGGAGATGCGCAGCGGCTGAGCTGTGACTTTGTTTTAAACTATTTTCAA